TCCTAGGATTGTGGAAGGATTGATTTAGAAAGTTTTTCTTTCTATTTTTGTACTTTCTATTTTCTCTTCTTTCTATTTTTTCTTCTTTCTATTTTCTTTTCTTTCTATTTTTCTTTCTTTCTATTTATTGCAGCAGCTTACTGTATAAATATGCCAATTGGTAATAGAGTGAAACATATCAGTATTCTACCATTCCAAAACAGGAAGCTTCTGAAATTCCAAGCTCAAAATTATGGATCGAGATTGTTCCATCCAAAGTGGCATTCTTTGTTTGATCCTCAGCTTGGAATAAAATTTTGACTAGAGATAACTTGGCAAGGAGGGGTATACAAGTGGAGAATTTAGGCTGTGTATTATGCAACAGAAATAGGGAAACAGTCAACCATTTATTGATCCACTGTGATTTCTCTTACAGTATTTGGATAAAAATGATCTGTTAGCAGTGGAGATGTGCTTTCTGGAGGACATAAAATCTTTTCTTGGAGGCTGGGATTTGAGAGGTTGAAGTAAGAATGGAAGAGTAGCACGGAGTGTCATACCTGCAGAAGTGTTTTGGGCGGTGTGGGGTGAAAGAACTGCTAGAATATTTGAAGGAAAGCAAGGCTCAGTTGAAGGGGTGGTTAAGAGGATTATGAAAATGCTATTTTCATGGTTGACAAATCTTTAAAGGAAGAAAATATAGTTTTTTTTTTGTTTTGGAAAATCTTTTTGTATAACCATAAAGAATTGATATTGGTGGATTGATGTACACAGGTGGTTTTATATCCCCGATGTGTCTCTCAATGTACAGTGGTTCTTTCATATATTTTATGGAATATCTAATACAATACCATACTTTACAATTAAAAAAATAAAAACAAAGAACACAGAGGGAACAACTGTATTGGGGAGTTATTCCCCTAGCATCTGTTTGATAAATGTATAAGAATGAAAATTTGATTTAGGGAATAAGGGTAGACAGCATGGGCTGATATATATTTCCATTCGGTGCTACCATGCTAGGCATACACCTTTTGTACAGCATTATTTTTTATAGTAAAATAAATACAACAAATTTATTGAAAGAAAGAAAGAGAGAGTGAAAGATCTATAAAGGGTAATAAAATGGCACCCAACAACAAAAGTAGGCTTGTATAAAATCCTTTTCTCCATATTTAGCAAAGCTCTTAATAGTTATCAATCAAAAGAAGATATGTTACATCATACAATATTACATGCATCAGAAAGGATCCTTGTATAGCCAACTGAAGATACAATTGAAACCATAAAAGTTAACTATGAACCAAGTATATTGTTGCTTGAATGGCAAAGACTTATCCACGAAAAATGACACCAGTAACATTTGCCTGAAGCAAAAGACAACAAGCCCCATAAAGCTGGAAGAAGTGAAAGTAGAAAAAGACAGCATACCTTCAGAGGATACAATATCCCTGATACATAGGGTGAATGCCTTATTGGAAGAGGTTTGTTGGTCATCCTGTATGTTGCAGTCACCCCTTTCACCTGTCTCAATGTCTACAATAATTACCAGAAAAAAAGGTATAAAAACGAGTGTAGTTTGAAAGGTTTATTGCCAGTACACCTATCACCTATATGATATGTCAACTCAACTGAAGAATTCCCAATAGAAGATATGGATATTATAGCATCCCTATTCAAATCTTCTCCTCCACTCTGCAATTCAGACATCTCTTTTACAAGAAACCAAGCTTACCTCAAGAGATTTCTCAACAAGCGCTTCTATCATTGTATTCATAGCTAGAGGTGCTAAATCCTTTAAAGAATTTGCACCCTGTAAAATGCTCTGTTTCACTGGATCAAGTACTTCTGGAGAGCATGAAGCTAGAATCTGAATTACATGTCCAAGGTAGTCACCACTAAGCTCAGTAACCAGACAATCAATGTCATGCATCACCTGTAAGCAAATAGATCCCATGTTTTATTCTCAATTAACCAGTTTAAGCTTTTAAAAGAAAACGTAAAATCTATAAGGTTCTCAACTCTGCAATCACTATACATATTTAGCTCACATTCTCCAGCTTTTACCAGAAAGCAGGTGTGGAGCAACCATTCTGGCATCACCAGAATAGATGACAATTACAGGCATACCGGAAAAGAGGTATATACTTTTTTTCTGAGCAAAGATAAGGTGTGTATCTAAACGGAAGAAGATTACTTACAAAAAGAAATTAAAAAGTTAAGAAAAGGTCCTGGAGTCAAAGTTAATTATATGCACTGATTACTTTTCCCTGTGTAACCCCTTTTTCGGATTGAGAAAGAAACTGCAATAAAAATGAAAGGTAAAACCCCCAAAGTCGGAAATTTTTTTTCAGTCATAAAATTGAATGCTCATTGTGGACTCCAAAACACTTCCTTTCTGCCTTTATTCCTTTTGTTATCATTGCTTATTTATTTAAGTACCTGGACATGATTTATCTAATGGTATTATAAGCACTTATAACTTCTAATGATAATTCAAAAGAGAGTTTTCTTAAATCAACTTTATATTCCTCAATTTGAGAAAATATGGAGAAGCAATCTACAAATATCATTGGATAAATTTCATTACTGGACTACAAACCTAGTGTAAATAAAAAAGAAAATCTAAGGAACAAAGCAGACTGCAGTTAAATTCTTAAAGATGATTGACACACATCAAATAGTAGTAAAAGAGAGAAAGAACTAATTAAACAAAGAATCGGATTGTACATAGATGAAATCTTCTGGAACTGCAGAAACAGCCCATTCAAACCCAGGATTGGAGCCAGTGTTACCAGTTCTCCGAATAGTCAGTCCGAAAGACAACCATGTGGAATACCTACCATAGGTTAAGAGAAATGGGTTACAAGCAGATCCACCGGTAGAATAGCAAATATAAAAGCATAATGTAACTTAGATATCGAAAGCAACCTACCTGGAGAGAAGCTGCAAAGATAGTCGAAGAAATTTATCAGAGCAAGAAAAAACAAGCACATCTTCTTTCCAGCAGGATCTCAAGCTCTCCAGAAGGGTTACACTTTGCTTTAAAGTTAACACTCCAGAATTTCCTTGACTGGAATGTGAGTTGTGAACTGGAGTAAGACTAGCCACCATAAGTGCAGAATCCAGAGCCCCAGCTATCTCCTGAAACCTGTTCTAACCAATTTGATAATTTTAGGCACAAATTGTAAACACAAGCTAATCTTATACTAATGATATTTGATCATTCTTAAGTTGTATGAAGTACCTCAATGAGAAATAAACACCAATGTTCCATTGTTTCATGAATTCTACATAAACAACCTCAGCTCGAAACTTAACAACAGCAGATCTGGAGGGACAGTACCCTTGCATCACAGTTGGACATTATAACAAAAATGAATAACATAAAACTCCTAAAACACATTTAAATAATTAATCACGATGACAATTATTTAGTTGCATAATGTTTTACACCAAAAAAAAAAGTCAACTAAAAAGTAGCATCCAATCCAACTGTAAGATGGCAGCTACTACCTTCAAGATAATCCAGAAAAGCTAGGCTTGATTTGTAATTTTTCAAGAATTCAGTGGGTCTTCCTGGAGAGAATGCTCCTGGTTTTCCCTTTTGGATAGACGAAAGAACCTCCTTAAGTATTGAATTTGCCAAGAAGTCAAATACATGGAGACCTGAATTGGCTGAACAGCATAGGACAAATAATAGAATCATATAATGAAATGCAAGGATAAGAGCAATTAAAATCTAAAATAGAATGTAAGTACGTGGCATATTTTCTGGATAGATATGATAGTATAAGTCATCAAAACAAAATGTCAAATATGTGGTAATAGCCAATACCAGAGGAAGAAATTTCCAATAAAAATTTGCAGCCATTCTCAATATGTTCAATGATTTGTTGATAATCCTCTTCAAGTTCATCTACAGAAACTGCAGCCATTGACTGTGAAGAGCTGTTGGGGATAATTTTCTGAATCAATGGATATACAATAGTTGTGCGGAAAATTTCTTCTGCACCATTAGTGTTATCAATTGCAGCATAGGCACGCAAACAATTGTAAATTGTATTCGCATCATGATGTTCCAACCCATCTATAAAACAGCGTCCTAAGCTAGCATCTAATAATAAGCTAGCACTCTGAATCCTTTTCTCCATGTTCCCAATGAAAGGAAGGTCCTGTACTGCCATAACATGGAAAAGAAATGAGAATGGAGATCATAAATCCCAAAACTATTTCTAAGTCATCTATTCTTTGCTAGTATTCATATGTATCCACCTTTCTCAAACAAAATGGAAATGAATAAAATAGAAAATTTCAAATGACATCAAGTAGAAAAACTATAAAATGAACCACAAATACTGATACATGCACTAGCAAAGACTAGCCTTTTAGTAGTTCCTATGTTCATCCAGCATGCTTGATGCTTCCTATCTTTCTGTGAAGAAGATAATTCTGACTATAAAGTAAATTCCAGTACAATGAAATAAATTAACATGAGTTCTTTGATCATTTATGATTATAAGCATTGGTGAAGTACCATGATGGCCCACTTTGTGAAATGGGCACAAAAGATGAACACACTGTAAAAGCTTAGATTTCTGTTGGCACTGTCATTCTGGCATCTATTTTCAAACTACTTAGATGAAATAAATTGGACATGTCTAATTTTAAACCAAAAAATGTGCAAATTTCATGTACTTGAAGAGTCCTTCTCTTTACATAATAGGAGCCAATTCTGTATTTTTTGTGTCCCTCAATGGAGCTTCACACAGGAGAATGTAGCCACTAATTCTTTCAGCACATTCCATGATTCCATCACTAGTATTTCTTGGATACTTTTTTTATCAGCATAGTATTTCTAGGATAATTCATAAATAAATGAAAAGGAAAAGAAAAAACAAGTATTTCTTGATGGAACTAACTACAAGAAGGAGGAATTTTTGACTAATTTCTCCTGGTACATCAACTTTTGACAGAAATATATGCTAACTTAGGCTGGAACGAGTTGACTTAGCAACTGCTTTACCAACCCAATCTGCCCCTTCGCCCATTGTATCCCACCCAATGGAAAGCTTGCCCATGCATTCCCTAGTTATACCATCAATTGAGCCATTGGTTGAACTTAGCATCCACCAAACAGTTCAACCTGACAGCCAAATATTTTGCTTCCCATATGGAATGTATAAGTTGCCAAGGAGCACCTCACTAAGATATCATCCAACAAATAAAAGTTTGAGGGCCCCCTTCCACCACATTCTGTCCAAAGTTCATGTGTAATCCATCTTCAGACCCGTACTAGAGATATTATATCAGCTCTAGTGGATTCCAATGGCCAACTGGACCTAAGAAAACCATAAGAAGATCACCATTCCGATCTCTATATGCTCCTCCTGGATCCAATGGCCTGAGTTACCAGAAGAGCAGCCACCAAACAACTTGATGCTCACTCAGGTGATGTGCTGCTATGCCAGCTCCATCATTTGGAGGAATGGATGTTTTGTAGCAAACGTTTAAAATTTGGTTCTGTTTCAGTTGAAGTTAGTATTTTGAGGATGAAGCAAGTATGCAGATCTTATTCATGTATGAAACAAGTCAACAATAGTAAGAACTTTTCAACGTAACAAATATTCTCTTCTCACCAATATTTATCAATATCGTCGTTCTAACAAAATACAATTGATAGGCTATAAAACAAAGAGAAACTGAAATCTGAGTGGAAGAACAAAAGAGACCTGTGCATGAGCCATGTAGAACTTCAACCGGTTCATCTCACTAGCGATCCTCTCCAAGAGCATGCTTTGTGTCTCTCTGAAATTTGTTCCATTCTCGGTATGCTGCAAAGAACCTTTTTCTGTAGAATTCACGTCTCCATTTGACCAATCAGATGGGACGCTAGGTAATTCCTTTATAAGTTTCTCAACCTGCACAAAAACAACTCATAGATAATGCACAAAACCAAACCCATATAGGAAACCGCTAGAATCCTTATAGCCTCAGGAATCGAGTCCCTTAGCATGAACAATTGAAATGCAGAAATCCTAGAGTACAATAATTCAATTTGTCCAAAAAAATGGGGAAATAAGATAAAGAGATAGAACTAGGGGTTGCGATGGAAACCTTGGAAACAACATGAAACGTATCAAGCAGAAGTTCCAGAACCTCTCTGGCAGCCGATGCCTCTGCTCTCTGACGCAACCCATTCTGCAACGCGGCAAGCGAGGACTCGACACTCCCCCTAAACTGCGAGATCTTTTCGCGAAGCTCGGTCAGAGGAGCTCTCATCCGCAAGATTGTTCCATCGACGTCAACGAGCTTGGTGCTAAGGTTCACGAAATCTGCATAATCTCTATTAATAAGCTCCACAAGCTCGTGCTTAAGCGATGACAGATGAGTTTGAAGCTCCGATCGAAGATTATCGAAGGGAACGAATGTTCTGAGATCTGTGATGTAGGCTTCTGAATCGAAATTCTCCTCCAAGAATGCATTCTTCTTGAACCAGAGAGGCTGAGAATCAATTGGATCTCCAAATAGATCTGTAGGAGACCGGGGAGGTAAGAGATCTGTCATTGCTTCCTTCACTCTCCCCTCTCTTTCACTCTCCCGTGCCGATTTTAGTTCTTCGCGGGATTGAGCATTTTTTATACTTCGTAAGTTTGTATTTTGTATTAATTTCCTTCTTTTTCAGTTTTCACTTCTTTTCTTTGGCAGTTTGGCTTTAGTCACGCCACGGTAAAGTTCGTAAATTTGGATTCGCATCCGCCCCCCACAACTTTGCCCCCCAAAAACGTCCCACGCGCTGTGAGTGCGCCGCGTGTCCTCTCACACGCGGATTAGAGGGACTCGTGCGGAGCTAACCGTGTGTCCTCTCGCCCAACGGCCCAAAAGGTCATCCTTCTCATTTCAGAACACTTCAACCCTTTGAGCTCCGCCGGTTGACGCGCTCACTTCAACCTTCCACCTTCTGCTCTCAGAACTGAAATCCGCCGGAGATTGTACCCCTTTGAATTCCGCCGGTCGACGCCGACGACCGTTCCAAAAGCGAAGCATTTTTAACCGCGAGAAACGACGAAGAAGATGTCCACTCAAACGCCTTGTTACAGGTCCCTTGTTATATCCATTTTCTCAGTTTTCATGAACCCATTTTGCCGTTTGTTTTTCTTGCTTCAAAACCCACATAATCAATCAAAAACAACCAATTTGTTCATTGAAAAAAAAAAATAGATTTTTCTTTCGAGTAGGCAAAGATAGTTTGAATTGATTGAAAGGGGAGTCTTTGATGCCGTTATTCTGTGCAAGCCACGCAACACAACTCCCTTACTCCCACATAATTTGGTAGTGAGAAGAAAGAATCTCACATCTAAGCATGTAGGCGTTCTGCTATTATCCAGTAGTAAATGCTGCCTAGCCGCCTCTTCCAGCAAGTTGGGTCTCTCAGAAAACGCTGCTTCTCTTTCGGGTTTTCATCGAACTTCTCCATCGAACATGGAGGACGAAAAGTTGGGGATTATATCCTCTGAAACAGAGGAATATTCAACAGAATTGGATGTTGCTGTTAGAATCGTCCAAATGGCTTGCTTTCTCTGTCAGAGGGTGCAGGAGAGCTTGATTTCCAAGGGCAATAATCAGGTTAAATCCAAAGATGATAATTCTCCTGTCACAGTTGCAGGTAACTGCATCGACTGTCTACAAAATGGTTTCTTTTTGGTGATTCTGTATGCTTTGTCGTGTGCTACATATTTTTCATCCATCACAGTTGCATTAAATGGAACCCTTGCTTTTATCCTTTTATTTATTATATTTTTTTGGAGACTGTTCTTTCAGTTTTTCCCCTTTGTTATTGTTTTTTTTTTTTCTTTTTGAAGTAAATGGTTCTGCTGCTAAACATGAAAATTTGTTATTTCTCTGAGGGATTGAGGGTATGGGTTCCGTTTCGTGTTATAGTAGCCACATCTTGAATTTGTTGGTTGGCTTCGGTTTGGTTTACAACTGAAATTTGGGAGATTTTACCACTATAGGTAGATTTTTGGTTTTGGTCAATGGAAGAGACAGAGTTGTAGATGTTGCAGCGGTTGACTTGTTGGCGTCGACCGACGGAATTGGAAGGGGGTTCTCACTCCGGCAAAAATGAGAAAAAAACAAAAAACACAGAAAATGAGAAAAACTTACCTCCGGTAAATAAATCTGTCGGAGTAATCGTCGGCGTCGACCGGCGGAATTCAAAGGGAGTAATCTCTGGCGGGTTTAGTTCTGAGAGCAGAAGATCGAGGGTTGAAAGTGTTTTGAAATGAGAATGATGACCTTTTAGGCGAGAGGACACACGGTTAGCTCCGCACGAGTCCCTCAAATCCGCGTGTGGGAGGACACGCGGCGCACTCACAGCGCGTGGGACGTTTTTGGGGGGCAAAGTTGTGGGGGGCGGATGCGAACCCCGTAAATTTGTACCGTAAAACCACGTACCCACTTCCATGTTTGGGAATTTGGTTCGGCTTGGGTTGATTAGTCGGGCTCAAAAGAGCCAATTGGGCCCCTAATGTATTAAAAATGACTCCAAAATCTCTCTAGTACTAGTGGACTGTAAAGCCTTGTATTATTTGCACTAATGCAAAACTCTAATTTATTTTTATTTTAAAATTTACCTTATTTTTTATTGCTGTAAAAATGAAATAAAATGAGATCGGAAACAAAATAGAGTAAAATCCAAAACAAAAACAAACCAGAATTTGCATTTTACTCCCATGCATTTGAAATACAAATATATACAATAAATAAGGTTTTGTATTTTAGGCTCAATTTGAAAAGAGTACAAATACAAATATATAGAATGCAAAATTTACATTTTGTATTATTTATATATATTTATACTGTATATATTTGTGTTTATACTCCTTTCAAACTGAGCCTTATATATTTGTATTTATATTTCTTCCAAACTGAATCTATCCTAACAAAATTGCATGCATGCATATAATTGGGCGGGTTGGCTGGGTTAGGATCAAGATGAACTGAATTCGGGTTCTAGGTCCAAGCCCGGTCCAAAAAATTATGAAAAATACCCAAGATTTTTGGGATGGGCCCAGTCCAATGAAAAAAATCCAACTTCAGGTTTGGTCGGTTAAGTTTGGGTTTGGCTCACCCATTGTCCTTATCAGAAATAAATATTGGTGAAGGCCTTCCACGTCAGACATCTAACAAAATATTTTTATTTTTATTTTTCTTTTTCTTTTTCTTTCAATGAGATCTATTCCAAACAAAGACCATTGCTCAATTAATAACTACGATTAATTGGAAGGCTCGGCTATGATATCTATGATACCAGAAAGACATAATATCTAAAACATTAGGGCTGCAAACGGATCTAATCAAATTTAGTAAGAGATATATTCAATTCGATTCGATAATAGTTTTTACTGATTCGAATCTATTAATAATTCGGTGAATTTTATAAAACATGATTCGAATTCGATTCATTAATCTTAACGGATATCCAATTTGATCCGATTGTTAATTCTTGAGAAAAGGCAACGAAAGAAGGAGATGTTAGATACTCATATAGTCAGATGTGCTGCTTTCCACAAACCACAGCAGTGACAGTGAAAGAGGGTGATGCCGCCAATGGTGGAATAGAAAAACTGGCAACCACTAAGCCGTTGGCCCGCATAGGATGAGAAGACAGAGTTTCAACCGCTCAGCACTCGAAAATGTAGAACAGCGGCAACGCCGACAAGCCGGCAGTCAAAAAGTCAGAGGGACGGAGACTAAAGGGCATTGTCGCACCGGCACCAAAGAGGAATTGGGGAAGACAGTTAGCGTCGATGACCGGAGAGGAAGACTGAAGTTTGAAGAGATTCAATCCTGTTCGTTCATGTTTAGGTTAGAGATTTAGGGCTTTATGACTTGTACTCCAAATTACAATTATGCACATAATAAAATTATAAATTTTCAAATATATAAACCTAGTTAAAAAATAAACTAAAGGGTATACTTGATCCGTTAAATAAACGGATCGGTCGATATTTGAATTTGATTCGTTAAATAAACAGATCAGCTTTTCCGATCTGATCCGATTTATTAAGATCAGGATGGGGCATCCGAATCCACCTCTTAATGGATTAGCATCGGATTCGGATAGGATCTGATCTGATCCGACTTATATGCAACTCTACAAAAAATTAGTGAGTTGTGGCCAACCGGTATCATAAATGCAGTAAACAATCAATTGGTATTTTATCAAAATTAATGGATGGGTTTTGATTGGTTAAAGTTCTTCGGGTACTATATAAATTTGTGTTGTGGCCATTCTTTTGAAATTTAAGACCTTTTGGTAAAAGGAATATTATTCAAAATTCACCATCACTTTTTTTAAGTTTCCCTTAAATTCATCATGACTTTTCAAATCATCCATAGAGCCCTCCCCATTGAGTTTCATTATTTAAAACTCACCTTCCACTAAGATTTTTATTAGATGACTGTTAAATATTTTTATCACAAAATAATCCTGAAATGGCCAATCAACCTTATTAAATGTGTCAGGTTTAAGCCAGGTTTAAAGTATTAGGCCCAAGCCCAACTCTAAAATCTATAAGCCTAATGTTGGACTGGGACAAAGTCTGAGGTAATTTTGTCATAAAAAATGATTAATAAGATTGGCTATCCATTTAGAGGTAATTTGGTTATATAAATAACTTAAATACTTATATGAACAACTTTTATTAATAGACACTAACGGCCATCTAACAGAATAGGGGAGATTTAGATAATGAAACTCAATAGCTGGTAGCTTTATGAATGTTTTGAAAACTCATGATGAATTTAAGAGAAATATAAAAATGTGATGATGAGTCTTGGATAATATCCCTTCGTAAAACTGCTATTAAGACCCTCTTATCCAATCTTGCCGACATGGGTCGTTCACATTCATGGAAACTTTTACTATTTTGTATTGTTTTATTTCAATTAAAAATAATAAATTAAAAAGTATTAACAATCTAATAGTAAAATATTAATAAAATAATATTCACAAATATTTCCATTTTTAGTACTTGATTTGGACGCTTTAGATTAATAATTAAATATAATACACTTGTTTGAAGGACAATTGGCACTTGGCTCGACTAAAACAACATTGAAACCAAGTAGACTGAAGATGATACAGTTCTTTAGATTTTTGGTGATCATATATTAAACATGAAAGAGTGCGTTTAGTGTTGGTAATGTGCATATTAAGGCATATTAGGTGTTTAAAAAATAAACCACTCAATATATTTGTCAATGCTAATAGTTGAATACTTGTTGAAAGATGTGACTATACACTATCTAACACTTGTCATTGCTAAGACTTAAAGAGGATTATGATAATCCAATTTTCATAGAGTTTGGCTTCATTCAGGGCAAAGTCCATTCAAACAGCATTCTATTGAGAATATTTTTTTTTATTTATATGCTTTATTTCATAGAGAGATATTTCTAATGCAAGGTTATAAAAGGCTGTTAGAACGGTATGGGCACAGGGTTGCCTTCATGCAAACCAATCTCATTTTCATATATGTTGGATTCTACTTTCCAAGCAAATGTTTGACTATAAATAACATAATCATCGTTATTATCATCCAAGTCTTGTCCCATCAGTAAAGGTAGGGATCTGCTATCAATAAACTGTTCCCATATCAATGATATGTCCTAACTAGACCTAGACTTGGCAATTGGGTTTGGGTGGGTCGGGTTCTGATTGGGTCAAGATACTTTAGGTTGATTTCAGGTTGGGTTGGATTGGCAAATGCTAGACCCTAACCTTAAGGCTATGTTTGGTTTGAAAGAAAAAGTAGGGAAACCTTTACAAACCTTGTATAGGTTTCTCTATCTTTCCCTTCCTTTCCTTACTTCTTCCTTCAAACCAAACACAGCCTAAATGATCAAGTCAGGGTTGACCGGAAGGTCATTTATAGTCATCCTAACAATAGTAGAAATTTAAAAAAATAATGAAAAATACCAAAATTAAATGAATTAACCTTAAAATTCCAAAATAAAATAAAAAAAAAACTTGAACATTTAATGATTAAAGAGTAAATAATAAAGAATAAAAAATAAATAGTAAAGAACTAAAGATTAAAGAGTGGAGACTTCTACCAAATACATAAGTAGTCCCAATTAGACTTGACAATCGAGTCAGCAGGTTGACCCATGGCCCAACCCAACTCAACCCAGTTTTTTCCGGTTTGGGTTGAGCCGGGTCATTCTCAAATTCAGGTACCTAAATATGAGACCCTAAACCTATTTTTTTCGGATTGGTTTGGATCAGATTCATGGGTTGGGCCAACTTTTTACCAAATCTAGTCCTAACATTAATATAAATAACATACATAAAAATAAAACACGGGTAAAAAGTATCAATACACCCCAACCTATACATGGGGATGTATCGATACTTTAAACCATACTACCGCCACTGTCTCAACAAGCCATTGTAGTTGTACATGGGGAATATATCATTTGTCATTCACGAGAGATATTCCTAATATGCAGCTGTAATGGCCGGTTGAAACATGTTGGGAATATATAATTGGTAGCAGATATGAACTCCAACAGTACGGGGTATGCTATATGAATCTAATTTCATAATTTTGTTTCATTCAATGTCATATCCATAAGTGACGTGTTCTAATTTGGATTAGCTGAATATGATGACTGTTAAACTTGCATTGCTTTTAATCAACATTATCAATACATACTTCTTATGCAAAACTTTGAATACAAGAAAAAAATAGAAAATAGGCATTGATTTGGAATGGCAACCAGTGGATTTAGGGCGGGGATCATGTTTCCTATTTCTGACACCGACTCTGAAATTAACCCTCACCCCATTTCCATTAGGGATAAAATTTGTCTTCCATCCCCGATCCCCGACGGAGATGGATTCTCCGTGGGGACCCTACTGGGAATTCCTATTAATCCCCGTCACTGTCCCCGTCCCCATCCCACCAAAACAATCCCCATCCCCGATTCCATCGGGTCCCTGTCGGGGATGGGAAAATTGTTATCCCTAGAATTGATATTCTAAACACGAGAAAATGAGTTAAATGAGTTAACAGTCTTTATATATTATTTAATGGTATGAATTGAGAGTTCACATTGGGGCCCATAAGACATGCTCCACATGCATATCTTAGCATGCATTGAGAACATCTCTTGAAATTGTCATTGGGAGATGTTCCCAGTACATGATTGGCTGCAAGACCCAAATGTGAATTCATCAATTGAACCCTTGGTGCCCTAAGCTATTGTACATTTCTAAAAGAATAATAAAAAAGTTGTATTTTGGCACTCCACTAAAACTGTAAAATCACGGCCTTTGATGCACAATTATGACCCCACTTTACGTAAGTTCATCCAATTAAAGGTAGAGGCACATCAATACATCAAAGGTCCTGATTCATAGATTTATCCCAATGCTAAGTGGCTAGTGGCTACTCCATATTTTGTCGGCGTTTAGATGAAGTGTAGTTTTACATTTAAAATCGATTTAAATACAATAATAATTAAAACAAATCCAAATATTCACTTCCATAATCACTTTTACAATAGTTCACAACTTTAAACCAATCAGACGCAGCCTTAAGAATTGCTGATTCTTTAAAGAAAGGAAAAATCTATGATGCGAAAAATATATGATTTAGAAAAAGTTTTAACCCATCAAAACCCACCCATGAGTTTTGATAAATAACAGTTATTCCAATTTATTGGTCAAATGTTTTTTAGATATCATATCTTTTTCATATCATAGTCGAACTATTAACGAAAATCAAAAAAGGGTGGACCGAATGAGCGAAATAAAAGAAAAAGGGTGAAATGTGCAATAATACAAAAGCAATATGTAGAGGGGCATGGCATGGCAGGCTTGCCGACATGATATCAAACATCTTGGTCAAGAGTCAAGACCAATCATCACTTCAGAGGAAAAAAGTGCCACCCCTGGTGTTGTAGAGCACACTTTTAAAAGGCAGAAATGTCATTCAACAAACTCGATGATTACATCTACAGCTTCTCAATAGCAGAAGCTGAAAATATTAGGAGCAAAGACCAGGCAAATAGTCCTGGAACAAGTGACAACAGCTCTTGCAGTTTCGTGAGCTGCGTCTTTAGCAGAATTACGAACAGAAGTGTTGAATGTCCGAGCAGGTTGGAAGGTGAGTGTCAAGAATCAAGATGCTTCTGCACTCATCCCATGTTTAACCACATAAAATCATAGCAAAGCATTTTCTAGGGCTTGAATTTCTATTCATAACTAACTTTTTCAATGTCTGTTTGGCATAAATAGACTGGAATTTTCACCCATTTCTCATCCAAAAATAGTTATCACAACAGAAGGCTTGATTGATTGAGATGTTGGGCGTTGGACCCAAACGAACTCCACACCAGGAACATGATTCCCTAATGCATAATAAGCCAGACCAAACAAAGCATTAACCGTCAATCCACAATGATGTCTTAATTAGGTCAGGAAATGAAAGAGATTCCAGCAAACTTGGACTTGCATTACTAATACTAATAAATATTTAGACTATGGGCTTACACGCCCCTTCATGCCTTGATTGTCACACTGCACAAACACACACCCGATGGCTTGATTTCTGAGGTCTGCCACTCCGAACCTGGTGCAGCATCTGGATCATACAACAGGGTTCTGTACTCAGGTTCCTCCTCCAAGGAGAAGAGCAGCAGCTTTCCATCCAGTATCCCAAACCGAAAACCAATCCTTGAGCTTCCTGTCAATGGAACAGGGACCATCTTCCACGAATTGTCAGCAGGGTTGAAGATGGCCAATTTTCGCTGGTTCTTCCACTCCATGCAAAAAAGCTTCTTGCCCAGCACAGCATGGGCTGTGACCATGACGCATCCATTCTTCATCTCACACCAGGTGTGGTGCTCAGGGTTGTAAACATCCACAAACCTTGAGTTTCCAATTGTGAAGCTCGACCGCCCGCCCATGACATACAGTTTCCCCTCAAACCCACAGGCAAAGCAGCCCCACCTGGGGCGGCGAAGACTCTCTATTAGCTCCCACTCGTTCTTGTCAGGGTCATAAACCTCAGCACTAGAAAGGCTCTCACCATCGGCCCCATAACCCCCTACTGCATACACCATCCCATCAACTTCAGCACAAGCGAAGTCATAGCGTGCCACATTCATTTTTGCTAATGCGCTCCACCTGCAACCATATAAAATTACTTGTAAGCTTCAAGATTGTTATAAAGTAAAGAGCTCCTTAATAGGAATGCCTGTCAATGTTTCATTGCAGAAGATGAGAATATCTGCTATACGTGTGTATTAAGGTGCAGGTTTTCAACACAGAATTAAGGCAATGCCCTCTAATAGCATCTAACTAGAGGCTGGAAATCACCTAAAATTTCCAAGGATGCGCAGCTATTTTCCTTCTTTCCCCTTTCTTTTCATAGAATTTTAGCAGTTGGCCAGGGACTTCATAAAATTGATCTCCAGTAGCAACAGCAAGCATTTCTTATATAGATAGATAAGAAAGCAGCTTGGTTGGATAGATGCCAACAAAACGCTTGATAGAAGCCATCTTATTTATCTTGAGATAAATGGGATGCCATTAAGAATATAACAATGATTGCTGAATAGCTTCCTATATATCCAATTTGCAAATTGGTTCTATTTGAATCCATATCAAGTTAAAGAAAAAAACAACAAAAAGTGATGACTAAAACCCATATTTGATGTCTAATCTTGATATCGAGGGGAAGAAAACTCCAAAAAAAAAAAAAGAAAGTGAAACATATAGAAGAAATCTACATTGAGGATTCCCTCATCATAATACCAATAAGACACCCCTGCTAAGCTGCCATTTGTTTAAGAAAATCAGGACCCACCAGCAAGGCAGCAACTAGGTTCCACTCTAAACAATAGTAATACACAACCAGCAAAATCAAATGATTCTAATTGTACATAATTGCTTAAAAAGTTAGATTTCTATCTAACAATGGATAAGCTACCACAACAATTCCAAAAATAATTCACAAATCAGATAGCTGAAACTTACCAGATGTTTTTGATTTTTAAGAAAAGGTGGCCTTTTAGGGAGATCTATTGACAGTGGGTCCAAATCCTCTAATACATGGAATACATTGTGGTTGAAGAGAAGGCACCTCATTGCAATTACGAGGGCACCCACATTGAACCCTGGCTCTTCCTCCCATGCCCAAATACCATGTGCATTTATAGTTCATCATCATCATCCATGCCTTATCCCAACTATATGGGATCGGCACCATGTGCATTATAGCTATCATTGTAATTTCACATGAAATGCACACACTTTGTCAAATACCAATTCATAGAACTATATGCACTAAACAGCCAAATATAACTCTGCCCTGAGAAAACCTGGTTCAATGGTTTGCTAATTACAAAATACAAATTTCAAGCCCAAATTTGACCTGAGTAAACTTTTGAACCAAGTACACAAGGTCCAGTGAATAAGCATTAAAGCCATATTCATGGAATGGACTATCAACAATATTATTATGTAATTGCCTCTTTCCCTTTTCTTTAAAGTGGACTCAAAACCTCTGTTATCACAGTATAAAAATATTTTAATCATCTTATCTGTTTCTAGAATGTCAAAAATGCAAAACTTTTTTTTTCTGAAGAACCTAGGTGTTCTACAGTATTTTATCAGCAATTCAGCTTCCATAGTATTAAAATATTAGGAATGCACCCGCTTACTATGAAACAGCATGTATGCATTCATTCACAACAAAGCACATCCTTGACAAGCTAGAAAGCTAAATGATAACTCCATAAGCATTGAGTGCTTCATAACCTTTGATAACAAATAACATACCAGAAATAGAAACAAACCTGTTGAGGCAAGAATCATATTGGTAAACATCTGAAGAGACGCATCCGGCCCCTTCATCCACCAAATAACCTGCCATAACCAGCAGCTTTCCGTTTAAGACAACCACCCCAAATCCAGCTTGCAATGGACCAGGCATTGGAGGAAGAAGCAGGTGTTCATGTCCCAAACAACCCAAGACCTCCCAATGGCTCCCCTTTCCTTCTGCATCACCTGTTAAGACATATAGCCACTCCTCAAGCCTTCCTGCCTGTTTCCTCACTGTAATGAATTCCTTGCTTTGGATGAATGACCTCCATCGCTTGCATACAGCACCCATGGTAGGAAACTTGCTGCGGGGAACAAGTGCAAGGCAGTACTTTGCCACATCATCAGGCAGCCCAGGTAAAATGGGATTATAAATATCATTGCGTGCCTGTGAGGTTAAATGGAGATTATTTTTCAAAGGTGTTTGGTGGTCTTTCTGGACTGTTGTGGAGAAACACATTTCTGATTCTGTGTTCCGCTTCTTTCCACTCACAAAACTAGGCATTCTCAAAATTGAGCAATTCAAGAATCACAAGAGATGTTCAAATCTCCCATATGACATCAAAGTTGCCCCTATAATAATGATCAGAAATAAGATTCAGATTGTTTAGACGTAACTAGAGGAATTCATGGTATCCATCACCTATAGGGATTTTAAGAGACCAAGGCATGAAAAATGTTGCGGTTGGAAGGATTTGAACTGTGAACAACGAGGACTTTCTAGGTTTTGTATGTTCAGGTTTAGATGCCATGTCAGAGCTTCTGCTCCTAGAGGACCTTCTCTCTATTGAACTATTGGGAATAAACTTGAGTTTCCTGTATGAATTGTTCCTTCCACCAAACATTGCCCCAATAACTGCACCACAAAAGTAGAAATGGGGGACAAACATTTAGGGGAAAACAAATTTGCATGAATCAGAACAGAACACAAACAGAAGAGGAAAAGGGCAAGAATAATACCAGTCAAGGCCATAGAATTTCAGAAGGTTTAGCCCCCTGTAACTTCCATCTTACGAAAATCCAAAATACCTGAAACAAGTTAAATCAACACAGCTGAACAAATAAATTAACAGATAACTTGGGTTCTACAGAAAACTTGGTAGAATCTGCAAAGATGTATCCTAATCCATTCACCACTCTTCTGGTCTTATTCACCAGCATCTATCATAAGCTCCAGAACAAGGCCATGACACCCCTTTTTTTCTAATTTTGATGTTGCCTTATTCCTGAATGATAACTAATGAAATTCCAGAAGAAAATGAAGCCAAAAACAGAAATAACCATTCCAGAAGAAAGAAATAAAAAATGATAAAAATATTAAATAAATAGAACCCAGAAAGTTAAACCCATGCCATGCTGGAATAATTAAAGATAATAGCAATAGGAGCTATTATAGTGATACCAAATTTCAATAAATCAAGGGTTCAATAAACCACTGGTCATGAGATAATAGAGTACAAAACCGGACTGGAGAGTGGAGAACAAAGAGAATAAACAAAAAGGATTATCTCTTTCTGGATCTAAATAAAACAGAAGGAAAGATCCGAAATCCCAACTCTTTAAATTACACACATGAGAGGCCTAAGCGACCAGATCTGGAAAAGGGAACAGGAAAATAAGTGAACTTCAACAAGAGTGTGATGATCTACGTAAATGCTAGCAGGATTTTAAACGGTAGGTGGAGGAGGAAAGACTGAAAAAACAGTTCCTCCCTCGCCCCCGCCCCCCCTCCCCCCTCCGTCAAAGCACGAAAAAATGTCTGGATTAACGATCTTTTTGATGAAACAGTAGCCCGATAAAAAGAATGTCGATGATTCCAACCAGATTTCATGGATGAAAAGAGAAACAAAAAAAAGCAGAAATTTTTGAAAGAGAAAAATAGCAGTTTTTTTAGCATGGAATTTTTTAAGAGACAATTAACACGAGATAATTCGAAGATCCTCGAAGGCTCGAACATGGTAAATGGCAAGGATTTTTCGTTTTTAACTAACATCAAAATTAGCATAAAACAAAATATTTCTTGTACCAAAAAAATATTTAGAAATAAAATCAGCAAGATGGTTCCTTGCACCAAGAAAGTAGAGCTAACAGAGATTTCTGAGTTTAGAGGTTGTCAAACGGAACAAATAAACTGCTAGATGTGGAAACAAAAGATGGGAAAGTTCAGAAGAACATCAAAACTTAATCCAGAAGAAGCAATCGAAGGATGGTGGGAGAATGGCGAGCTATCTCTGCACTCTGCTCAAGGAAGCATTAACAGTAAAACGAAAAAAAAGAAGAGAAAATAAAAGAAATACCTGATGTTTATCTCCGGAGCTTTGAGTTCGTGGATGGCGGGCGATAAGAGCACTTCGATCTGGTTATCGAGAGTAAAATGTGGGAGGGGAGACAGATCACAGATGATTCGGGGACATAAATAATAGAAATATAGCATTTAACAAGATAAAATTGGCAAGTCGTAAACACGTCAGAGAGATAACGGCGATCGGTGAGAGTATGTCCAAACTCCAAAGACCATAGTTTTCTCTTTAATTATTGAAAAAAAGCGCTATCTTTAATAATAAATAAATTTTTCATTAAAACAAATGAAAATATGTTCATATACACGTAATTTGGGTAAGTAGATAAGCAATTGCTGTGGAATCGCCCTGAAAGGGAGTAGTAGACAGTAGATGACCTTATCAGTATATATATTGTGTTGTCTTCGTTGACCGTTCTCTCTCCGTCGCCAAATGAGAACTCCCTTTTTATTACCAAATTTGAAAGCACCGAAATACCCTTCGCATTTGTCTAGATCTCCTAAAATGCCACGAACCCTGTTTTGTGTAATCGTCGGTTCGGTTCATCGATTGGTATGGTCTTTGCAAGGGGACCCATGATTCACCCGTTCCGGTCATTTCTTTTACCCGAACCGCAATGTTCTTACCGTTTTTCTTCAGGGCGTTGAATATGTTCAAAATAGTTAAAACTGGGTCTGGCCTTCTAAACTCGTTCTAAGATCCAACCCGGCCTCACATGCTTGCAGATGCTGGTATGATTAATTTAGGCCCGTTCATTTTTATTTACCGGCTAAATACATATATTTATTGGAACAAGTGTTTGTTAGGTATAACTCTGGAGACCACATCTCCGCCCCCACAACGCCTCACAGCCGTGTATTTGGACATCTCCCGATGATGTACCAAAACCGATGGGAGATGCTCTCAATATACGGCGGGGATATATTGTGGGGCGAGAGGTTGTGGGGCAAAGATGTGAACTCATAATTCATTTGAGTAAACAAGTTGTCAGCATTATTGTACATTACCCGTTATTTGGGTAGCATGAGCATTTAGAAAATATTCTTGTACATTACCCGTTAGATACAACCATGTAAGCATGTTGAATGAGCATTTAGAAAAATACTAGTCGGAACCGTGTGATGCATGAGATTTTTTTAACCAAATTGCAAATTATAATCAATGGCAAGGTTTAAAATATTATTACATATCTGTCTATACGTATTGTATCAGGGCCTTCCCAATATGGGGTGTATTGGGCCAGGCCATGGTTTAGAGGGTAGTTGGGACTTAAATTGACCCTCTGAATCGATTTTGAAAAAAATAAGTAAAACATAAAAAAAAACATTGATACCAATGTAACAGCCTGTATCGATATTTAGAACATTGATTAATGGATTGTTAAAGATCCCTAGATACTTATAAACACCTTACCACAAAATTTCATCACAAATATCCCCCATTTAACCCATCATCACACTAAGATTTTAATTTGGGCTGTCTTATTGGCTAAGATATTCATTTCTTAAATGCCCTTGATCATACCATTTATGGACCAATCAACCCCCACCAAATGATTTAAGAGACCAATACCTCTAGAAATCTCATTATTAGCACTTGATTTTTGCTCAATTCACTGTCAAAACCCCAATTTACCCCAAACACCCGATCAGACTGTTCTAATCCTTCCAAAAATTCCCTTTCGAACCCTTTCATTAGCCCGAATCACCCACAACCCAAATCTCCTTGATCCTAACACCTCTGAATCAATTAGACCATACAATTGAACCCTACATTCACAAAAAAACATCTATCAAAAATTTTTCAACCTAAAATTCCCCCATTTGCTCCGTCATAGAACAAATATTCCATTTCGGATGCTCTCATTGACCCAAATTTTCATGATTTTGGCCCTCCGAAATCAATCAGATGTTTCAATAAGATCCTAAACACTCTAAAAACCCTACCCACAAAAATTCAGCCCAAAATGCATTTGTTTGCCCCTGCATTTCACCAAGATTCCTTGTCAAAACTTCGCATTAACCGGATTAAGTTCTTTCTGAATCTGCCTGATCTTGGAATAATTGGGCCAATCTAACCCTACCAATCAACCCAGAATGCTCAAAAACACCACCCTTCCAAATTTCAACAAAAAATTCTCTCATTTTCCCCTGATCCCCTCTATCACACCAAGATTATGTTTCAAAGTTAATAAATTAACCAAATCACTAACCTTCTATATCTGCCTAATCTGAGCCTATTTAGGCCAATCTGACCCCACCAATTGATTCAAAATGCCTAAAAAATCCACTCGGTAAAATTTCAATAAAAATACCCCTATTTGCCCTCCGTATAAAAAGATTTCATTTTAACCAATATCGTTAGCCCTTCATCAAGGAGCAAGAAAGGCCAATATGCTTAAATTTCTTAATTCAAACTTTTGATAGATATAGATGAAAAGTGAGGGAGAGGATAAATAGGAATTAGAGATAATTTAGGAGATAAGTAGGAATTATAGATGATTTAGGAGAAATGGGGGATAGTGGTGCCACTTGGCTAGATTAGATTAATAGTTTTAAGAAGGGATATCCAAAGGCATAAACATAGAGGAAGAGGGGTGGGCCAGGCATGGTAAGGTGTCATTATGAGAGAGGGAGAAGGGAGTGATGGGATGGTTTCATGAGGGAGCAAGGAAGGCTAAAATGAGAGGGGCTGAGAATTCTCCGTTGGGGTAATGGAGAAAGCTCAGGCCATGATGTGGCATCATTCTACTTTAGTGTGTATGTATATATATATATATATATATATATATATATATATATATATAGAGAGAGAGAGAGAGAGAGAGAGAGAGAGAGAGAGAGAGAGACTCTTGTACTTTGCCCATTATTCGAGTAAAGAAAGCAATCCGATCAGGTAGGCACAACCTTGTAAACATGTTGAATGATCATCTAGAAAATTTGTTGACACCTGTCCCTTAATCAAATGTTCATTGGACATGCTTACTATATTATGCCTAGTAGATCCGGTCCCTAAAGAGAGAGGTGAGAGTGCTTATTGGCTTCAACTAACGGGTGGATAAATTGTTTATCCACCTTGCAATAGGGTATCGGCTATCCATCGATACTTTCAAGCATTGTTTTCAATCCATCGTTGATTCGACCGATTGAACCGCTCGAATCATCACTCTGTCAAGATTTCAGGTTTGGTTTGAGTAAAACTTGGTCAAAATCACCTAACCCAAATGGTTGGACCATTGACCCATTCAACCCGGTGACCGGGTCGTGGGTTGCATGCTAATTGTGTATGCAAACTTCAAGAGGCCATAACTTTGCACTCCAATGTCCAATTGAGGTGTTTTTTTTATTTTGGATAATTTTTCGAGATCTATGCTTTCCAAGGCGCCTACGATGCTTTTCCCCGATAATTTTTTCAAAAAAACCCTTTTTTTACCTCAAATTATAATTTTTAATATTTTTATAAAAAAAACTTAAAATTAAACTAAAAAACATAAATTAAATATAAAATATTTTATATATTATATGTAAAGCACAATTATACATTATTTATTAATAAAATACTTGTATGTGCCTATACATATGAATTTCAATATAACTAATGTGACACAGACTGACCCATCCAACTCTAGACAGTCAAACCGATGACCCATAACCTAAAGACAAAAACGATTCAGCCTCTCAATCGGCAATATAATGGCAAATGAACATGGGTATGTATTGTCGTCAATTAGAAATAACCGACTTATCCCATTATATAACGGTAAGTGCTAGTATGTGAAAAACAGGAACTGTAGACTTTATGCTGCGAGAATGAATTGTGGACCTGTGATTACGAAATTTGTTCATGCGTCTAAATTGAGCTTGTCTTTTTGTCAAAATTTGCATAAATTCATGCTGAAGCTGAAACCTGAAGCATTGTAAAATGTTTATGGGTTGAGCAACATGTATGATGACCACAAAAACTATTTTGCATATATATATAATCTTATGCCCATAAGAACTCTGCCTATAATATTATTTTCGTGCATTGGTAATATCTCTCTATACATATTATTATATAGGATGATGAAATAAACTTTAAAGTATTGATCGATACGTATCGTTCTGAGATTCCTCCGATATACTTTTATAGTGGATGTATCGGAGGTTTGACCGGTTCAAGGTATAAAGGAGACCTAAACCAATTCCCCTGAACGAAAAAAAATAAAAAAGAAAAACAAAAGGGTATCAATTTATCCGATAACCTATACAGACGTATCAAATTTATAACCCCAAATCCCACTCGATGAGATTAGCTCCCATAAATGAGAGGATGTTTTTCTATACCCTATCATTATCACATGCTAATGTAACCCTAATTTAAAATAGAGATTTTCAAATTATCACTTTTTTTAATGGCTAAATTATTTCAACGCACACATAATATATGGTATTTTAAGACCATAATAAATGATGAAGATCTGCCACCACTAGAAAAATGGAGGCAGTGCGATCTGTTCCCATCCATCTAGTTGCGTCTACATGTATTTACATTTGGCAATTACCGAAGACAAGTGTATGGCGACCAAGTCCTGCAGTTTGGGGGAAAAAAATAGATTTTTGATGTACACAAGTTGAATGGAGTGTTTGACTGGTTATTAGATAATTAGCGAGATGAAAAAAAAATCATTTCCTGCTTCTTTCATCTTATGTTTATAAGGTTATATAAGCGGTGGGAAGATAACATTTTGTCTTTATAAGTTAAGTTGTAATTTTTGTTTTATCTTAGGGGTTTTTTGGTAATTGAAAATATTGAATACCGGTGGTAGGTTAGTAGTGGTTGGTAAGAAGGGAAGAACTAAGAACTGGTCCAATTAGAATCCGGTCAAAATTGACGGCCGACGCACCTTCATATTTTAACGTTAAGCGTTTGGTGCTGTAAAAGTGGGCCGTGCTCGGCCGGTATGGCATGGCCCGTGGGCGGCCTGCAGGCCATCTCGGGCTGTGCTAGACCTGTTCATGGGCCGGGTGGCCCGATGGGCCGGCCCAGCTCAGCCTGACCCTCAGACGGGCTTGAACAGGTATATAGGCCCGTGGGCTTAACCTCGGGCCAAAAAGCCCGGCCCGCAATAAATTCGAGTCGGGCTCGGGATTTGCCAAAATAGCCTGGCCCGACCTATAACTAAACCTAAAAACCCTAGTTGAATACCTCTCTTTTTTTCACCTCATTCCCT